AAACTGCTGAAGTGTTGGGCGGATTACAAAGATATCGGGCAAAGCTTGTCCTATATAATTAGGTTATCGCCTATGCCATGGGCGATAAACTCCAAATTACAAGCTATCGCTCAACACTTTGTCTTTCAATTTCCAATATCACACCATATCGCTCAATACATGAACAATATACCAACATTTAGATAAATTTTCACAAACCTTGAGCGATAAACCCAAATATTGTGAAATAAACTAACGATAATAACTACCACTTTTTGAGCGACGAACACCTAATCCGTGCAAGCTTTGGGCGATAACAACAAACAAATTGTGCAACCTTCTGAGCAATGAGATAAGGATATCTTGCAACACTCGGATGGATTCCAAGTATATCTTCCAAATCTTGTGTTATTAGATTCAATGGGCGATGAAAGACTATGAATCTCGCTCAATGAGTATTCAAAGAGCGATAAAAAGATATTTAAACAGAAACTTCAAATAGATCACTAAAATTGCTCAAAAATCCATATTACTCGAAATAATTTGCACAGAATGGTTCGAAATGATCACAAAAACACTTTTAGTGAAACAAATTAAACCAAAAACATATTCGAATTGCCCAATTTGATCAAAATACTCAAAAATAGTTTTTGAACTAAAAACATAAAGTTTTGATCAAAGTTTCAAGAAGTTCAATATCAAAACAGATCCAAAACCAATTCAGATGCAATTTTGTTTGCTCTAATACCAATTGCTAACCCAGATTCAAGTCACAACTCACAATTAGATCAAGATCAAGAATACAAAAATGTATTTGAGAAGTCGGTTGTATATTAATATTCAAAGATTAAAGAGTGTTCTTGATTCTCTCAGATGTCTACAATAGGTTGTCTCTCAATGCTTTTACCGAATTATAAATCTCTCAAAGTTGATTACAAACAAAACTACCAACGACATCTACATATACCCCTTTTTAGAAAGCTCTAAACTAGCTACAAAGCATGTAAAGACTACAATACAAAGCATATTAAAACACTTTAAGCACATGGACTTGGATACAACAATTTCAACTCAACATGAGATAACAACGGTATCAAAATGCAAGTATATCTACATTATTCATCAAAATCTTAACAAAAGTATGTCCTAATGGGTTAACATCAGTATTGTCACTCCGTAGCTCTCATCCCAAAATCCCAGCTAAATTGTGTACCTGCCAAGGACAAAGAAAATCTCGATTGAACGGATAATAGTAACTAAACCATGAATATGAGATAACAAATTTACAAAAAAAAATTATAAGGTTAAGTGATAATCCAGAAGAAAATCAAAATGCCCCGAAGGCATGTTAAGGGTCTGAAGACCAAATTGCATCACGAAGACGCGTTGTTCCCAAAGGATGATCAGTCCATTTGGATATGAGTGAGGAAAGGGGTTCAAGCACAATACAATAATCCTCTATGTGGATTTAACCATGGCCACAATTTATTATCTGATAACGGTTCCTAGGATCGATCCATATGACCTCTATTGGACCGGTACATAAACAAGTCCACCTTTAACGATTATATAAATTAGGACGCTATGATCATTTTAGCCACCATGGAAACATCTCAATATCGGTGTCCCCAATATTGAGTCTATAGTAAAAAAGTTAACAATAGATGCAATCTAACAAGTCAAGTGATCAAAATGATCCATTTTTCAAATATGAATTTGGAACCAATGTATTCGAATTAGGATGCCTTATATAAATGGATATCCCGTGTCAATTGAGCTAGAATATTGGTACCTTAACCAAATTTGATAATTAACGCATGATCAAAAGGAACTTACGATCAAGTTTGACTTGTCCTCGTGCCTAACGAATGCATAAACGGGTTATGATTTGCAAGGGATAAAAACCATAACATAATTATTCTAATAAAGTTATTTAGGTATTAATGTACTTAAACAACATAGACTTCAAGAAGGACAACCAGATACGAATTGAGAACTCAAACGTAACACTTATCCTTATGCACTTACGATCCAACAACTTCAGTCCCTCTTCTTTTTAAGCATTTTTACCCTACTTAGAAGTCAATCTAGATGATATTATCTAAATAAAGTTGTATATGGTATCATGTGATTATGTTAGTTTTGGAATCATCTCATTTGAATCATCTACCAATTTTATATGAATTTTACAAAACAACAGCTATGATCCCAAGTATACAGTGAACAGCCATAAAAACACACTTTTTTGAGTCACTTAGAGCCATAATTGGGTTTTAGACCCTTCATAACAATTGTAATATATAGTAACAAATTTATACCTGCAAAATATGAGTTTAATCCAACTTACGGTTTATGATTTATGCATTGTTAAACTACTGGACTTGAAGCTATCTGAAATTCCGATTTCCATATTTTTCCCAAGTCACTTTTATGATCCCAACTTCAGTGATTTATAAGATTTAAATGTTCTAAACATATCATAACATACTAAACACCACAAAGAAGCTTAATGATTATAATTCTAAGTTTGATCATACAATTTTGCACTTCTAGACATTTAACTGAATAATTAATGTGCAGAAAATCTTATATACTCAGTCTAACTATATTGAATCTATAATTTACCCTTTTTCTTTCTACATCATTTTAGCTTAATCCGATCATTCCAGAACATGTATTTAATCATAAATTGTAAATACTAATTCATATACTAATCATATACACCATTATAAACCAACCTCAAATATCTTAACATAAACACCTTTAACAAAAACAAAAGAAATTTATACCTTTAGAAAGAGTTCGAAGAGTGGATTCCGAATATATGATTATTTCATCGATTCCCATAGTAAATTGAGAGAATATTTAGAGAGAGAGTATGAAAAGAAAATGAGGCGGTGAAAAATGAAATGAAGGAGACAATGGATTTCATATATATATATAGAGAGAGAGAGAGAGAGAGAGAGAGATGAGCGATCAAATAAAAACCGTCTCCATTTGTGTAAACCGTGTAAACCAATCTCACTCATCCATTTTCTTAATCAATGGTTAAGGTTAATCAAGGTTATTTAAGGAAATTAAAAAAAATTGAAAATACATTTTATAATACCGATAAGGGCAAAAGGGTAAAACCAAATATTCATTTATTCAAAGAAACCATATCATGTATATCATATTATTAATGAAACTAATCTATATTTTGTAAAATAATTTATTATTTTTACGTTAACATTTATTATTATTAATAAACCTAATTTATTTTTCATCTTGCAATTATTTTATGACGAACCGCCTACATTATGCACCCGTTTCATTTTTCATTTCATCTACTGAATGGATCACCTACATCATCACTGAAACGRGTTTCACCATGAAAGCAGTTCACCACTCATTGTTCAATTACGCCATAAACCAGTTTCACCTTCATGAAACCTGCTTCATGTAAATTAATTTTTTTATTTCACTCATGATTTGATGCATTCTTTCATTTACTCCTTACAATCTTCAAGATTCTGAAGCAGATTACAATCTTCAAGATCCCGAAGCAGATTCATCATTTACCCGTTTCATCATGCAATTATTTCATAATGAACCAAATAAATTGTGCACCCGTTTCATGTTCCATTTTTTCTACTAAACGGATCAACTACACCATCACTGAAACATGGTTCACCATGAAATGATTTCATATTACTCATGAATCAATTACAACATGACCCAGTTTCACCTTCATAAAACCTGTTTCATGTAAATTAATTTTTTTATTTTACTTATGATTTGATGCATTCTTTCCTTTACTCCTTACAATCTTCAAGATTCTAGAGCAGATTACAATCTTCAAGATCCCGAAGCAGATTCATCATGTACCCGTTTCATCATGCAATTATTTCATAACGAACCAAATAAATTATGCACCCGTTTGTAGATCATTACATTCTCTTTTCTTTGTTCTGATCATTCACTTGTAGATCAATGAATTTGGACAAATTCTTAATGGGTACCGTAATGAGGCTGGACCCCCTAAATATTCTACTTTCTCTAGCTAAAATGTTATATGGCTCGATTATTGCTTCATGTCAAATATTTTGCATGGTTAAAATCTTGAATACGAAATTCTCATGTATCATCCTTGTTATTAATTGATGCCATAACGATTACAACTCTTCACTTATACAGGTATATAACCAACATCCTGGATGGACCACAATTATATGTTGATGTCATGTGTTACTAGCTAGCTATGGAATAAATGCTAAATATAGATAGTATCCATGATGAGCTATTATTTCTAAAGTTAGGACATTATATGTACAGCTTTCCAGATCTAGAAAGAATATGGAAATTGTGTGAGGATGCATTGTTTTGTGTAAATGAGACTCTTTAGCTCATTTTTCAACGGTGGTTTATTATCATCCAAGTTAGTTTGTGGTTGATGTAGGCAAACCACTCTTACAACTTCTATCCTCCTTGAAAGTTGGACACATTTTCCACCACTTTACAACATCAAAATATAAATTTGAAAGAGTTGGGATGCACAAGGTTACAATAAAAACACATTGTTTTTTTGGGAAAACAATCAATAAACACATTTGCAAACTTAACATTGTGTTTTATTAGGAAAACAATTTTAATAAACAAAAGTTATTCATTGTTGTTTCTTAATAAAATGTTATATTCCGCTACTTTGMACAAGTACATGACTAGTTTTCAATAATGTATCAATGGTCATGTCGATATTCAGTACCACAAACATTTTGTTTAATTCAAATGTACGTGTAATAAGCACCCAGACTTTGGATTTTCTAGGTCTCAAGCATTGGCTCAGGTTGTATAGTGTATGAGCCAGCTCTCGGCTCGTCGAGCTTTTCTAGGAGAGACGCTTTGAATCCCCATAGATGCTCAAACTATTACTCGTACCCGGTAAACTTTTTATACACAGGTATTTCACGTATAGATATTTCTTTTCGGTAATGATCATGATGTACGCAACATGCGTAAGAATTCAAGCAACGAGCGGCTTATATTAACAGAACGATAGAAAGTAGAACAATGAAGATCCATACATATATATAGATACCAAACCAAGTTAGTGTATGCACAAAAGTCGAACCACGGTCAAATGATCGAGCCACGATACTCGTCCCAGTTGATCTGAAAAGCAGGATGATTTTGTCATGCATTTTTCTTCATTAACCCAGCCGCCATTTGAACCATCGGTTCATTTGTCACTTGTGCGATTCCCTGACCGTCATTAGCTTGCAAGGCGACATGGTAGTCGCCATCGGTTTCGACAGAGCATGGCTCTGTGAAATCTACGACTATCTGGTTTCCGGCATCATGACAAGCTATTGTGTGGGACCCGTCAACTGCTTTTCGCGGAGGTGTTTTTGTGAAGTCAATGAGAGTTGGGCTTGAAAAGTGGACGAGTTTTTGAGTTGTCATTTGAGGTTGGTTTCGTTGATTTCTCTTGTTTTCCTCATATTCGGCCATCTCTCGAGTGAATCGCTCCTTGTCTTTCTTACTTGCCTCGATATATGGCTTAAGCATAAAAGGGGTCAAAACCACTAATTGAAACCGAAACATTTCAATTATTCGAAAGTTTTCATGTTAAAATAACCGATTTTCTCATTCATACTGATTGTTGAAGAAATATCTTTATTTCAAATGAGCAAATGATAATTTGGAGATGCACAAAAAAGTCGAAGCCCGAAGCCTGGCCTGAAAGCCCGAGCAGGCCAACTTTTTTTAAGGCCTGGTCCGAGAAAGCCCTCTGTAAAGCCTGGAAAAGCCAGATAAGCTTTTTCCATTAAACAAAGGGGCTTGAAAGGCCCGGGATAAGGCCCGAGATACAATAAGAATCTGAAGGCATACCTGTTTATCGTCATTAGAGAGGTGTCGCCACACTTCAACGACCATGTCTCGGAGCAGAGCGGATGGCGTCTCTCCATGTATTCTCTTTAGCCTCTCACATTCAATCTTGAGGAACATCTGATAACAGTTTCTTGACCCGAGTGGCGCACGCGGATCTTTTCTCGCTTCTTTGACTTTAACTGGAGTCTCCATAACCAGTTCCCGAGAACCAAGATCACACTCAATTTTCTTGAACGGAATTTCCCGATCGCATAAGTAAAGTTCGTCGTCATCAATCTTCCTCTTCCCCGTTGACCCGCTTAAGAATTTTTTTTTGGATTCCATGTCCCGAGACCCTGGGTTCATAATCAAACACGGCAAACAGATTAAGCTGAATAGTGTTCCAAAAACGTAATTTCAAAGTGTGCTCAAACCTTGTGAGAATGTTATCCGAGCGTTTTTACGTTTTACGGGACTCCGATAGTGATACATCTGCTCAAACGAGTACAGAAAGGTAGCGTAGAGCTTCTGAAATTGATTCGGTGCCAACGGCACTCGGTTTCGTTGATTCAAACTGAACGCAACATCTTCCCATTTTCCGTCTTTTGTGACCTAAATGGTGCTCATATAACACCCAATGTAAGAGAGACACGAACTATTTTCCGAGAATTTATTAACATTCTCTAAAAAGGTACTCTTAATAATCCCCCATGTCGCCACACAGAGGGCATGGGGACTTAATGGGGGGGGGTCGAAATATGGTTTTCAAATTAAGTTCCGCCCAAAATGGTAATGGGCTTAGGTTATGAACTTGCATTTTTTTGCTCCAAAAAACAAAGAAACGATGACCCATTTCAACTAAGATCGATTTTTATAAATGGAAACAACCTGAAGATACCCGCCTCTTTCAGTCACGATTTTGTAGAACTGGTGCAAGTCCATGCTCGAGTCACGAAAGTTAAAACTGTCATCAAAACGTTCACAGGTTAGACTATTACCAACTTTATTTGTGTTGACCATATAACGTCGTCTTTTTGCCGGGTCTTATTTATATGGTAGTAGAAACATGGCGAAGGATCGTGTGAGAAAAGAAGTTAAGGTGAGAGGCGTAAGAAGAGATCTAAACCCTTGATCATTTTAATCTCATGCACATCCATGAATTGCACTTTATAAGGGAATTGATCCGGTGTATCTTGGTGCACCTCATGAGTGCTGACATTCAATTAGAATTGATCCAAAGCTAGAGATCTCTTCTTCCACTTCTCACCATAAGTTCCCTTTTCTCACCAGAACTCAACTGTTAGAAACATTATGGGCCATTTACCAAACACTTACTGAGTAAAGGCTTACTGGCAAGAGAAATTACCTCTACTTACCTTATCACATAACATTCTTGGCCGTCAAATGGATTGTTGGTAAGCGTCTTAAACCCCATAAGCGCTTACCGGCTAGGCAGGGGCAGACTTATATTGTGGATTGTGGTGTTACTGTAAGGATTACTGAGCTTATAAGAAAATCATATCAATAGTGCTAAAAAAGGATTAAATCTCTGATTTTCTACTCATTGCTATCGGCAATATTCAAAGAATTCATGTTCGACTCTCTATGTCCGCGAATGAGACCAAAGATTACCTATTTAGGGTTTTAGTTTTTATGTTTCCTTTGAATATTTATTTAAGTCTTAGATATAGTACATAATTATCATTTATCCCTAAAGTTAAATATTTAAAAAATAAAAACTCATGACGTACAAAATGACGGGCCATGACGTGTCATAGTGTGTTATAACGCCCCATGACACGTCATAATGTGTTACAATGGAAGCCAAACCTCAGAGTGGATCCACAGGAATTAACGTGACGATGAAGCCAAGCATTGGCGACATAACGACTTATTTAGAACCATGGTTTTTTACTCAATTATATATATTTTTTAACCTTTAACTCGTTTAAACAGCATTTTAGACTTTTACTCATTTAGGCGATTTGACGATTCCCAATTCCAGCTATCAGATGAATATTTGAAGAATGATTCTATTTAATTGAATTTCATATGTTACTTTGCTATTTACAACATTTTTATTTTTTAAAAACATAATATACTCTTATTTTAATTTGTAATTTTTTTAATATAGTGTACGATATGAACTTTTATATTTTGTTTTATTTATTAATCAGTTTATAGTCCTGATACATGTGTAACATGAACTCCGAACATATTGGAATGTCCGTGCTTATATGATATCATGAACCTAGGGCAAGTTCCGTTAGACACCTGAAATGGATTACGAACTCAGGAATTGTCGACCGCATGACATGTGGCATATACATAATCATAAGTAATATAAATGTATCAAGAATGTTGTAACATATTCATCATGAATGTTGTATCATATTCATCGTGAATGCAACACTTCCTGCCACATTCATCACGAATGTTCATCCTAAAGAGGGACATGTGATGCGTTACGAACAATTCCGGATTTGTTAATCAATTTCAGGTTTTTAATGGAATTTTCATCCATGAATCCATACCAAAAGTCATGCACATGAACCGAACAAACTTTCTAATATTGGACAAAACAGCTAGAATGTGCTCCATTTGTCCCAAAAGAACCAATTTTGACTTCTTATAGTCAAATTTATTACTTTTCACTTTCAAAAATTGAGAAAAATTTGCAGTTTTTACCTCTAAATCCATATGTTTTTAATGTTTTGTGTAGCTGGGATTCAAAATAATCAGTTTTTTTCTATTTTCTACAGAAAAATCTTATGAATAATTTGTAATGATAAATCAAAATAAATTGACTCCAAAAAGTCGAAATGTTCAAGTTTAGGAGTAGACGACTCACAGTAGGCTAAAACCAGAGGATTCATTCAGTTTGTTGAGCTTCTGATAGAAACCATCTTCCTCCTCCATCTCGGCCGTTGACTTCCGGAAAAAATGTGCAGAACCAGCCAGAGACGGCGGTTTTCCACGACCGAGGGTTAGTGAAGAACATGCACTGCGATTGGAGCCAGCAACACCATAACCACATTCATTGTCAGGATGGGAAGCATTCACCATGGTTGTTGTCAGAGGGAGGATACAAATGCATTCACTGGTGGTTTGTTTAAACGGCGATGACGGTGGCGGTGGCGAGGGGTTGTGTGAATCCCACCGTACGGTGATTGTAGAAGTGGTTTCGAGTCCTGTGTCTTGGACAAAATGCTTAATTTATTTAAAACTAGTTTGGAGTAATTTAGGTAAATCAATTAATTAAATTTATAACCACCTGGTCGATATAACAAAAAATGGTTTATACTCGTGAAAAGGTTACAGATTTAATTAAAATCTGATTTAAAATTATATATCTAAAAATCTTACTAAAATATTTGGTTAATGATCCGAAGATTATCAATTATATACCTAAAAATCTTACTAAAGTATTTGGTTAATGATCCAAAGATTATCAATATAATTATATGTTTGTTGTTAAATAGAATAACAAATTGATTTAAAAAAGTTAGTAGAATCTAATTAGTACAATTGGGGATGTTTCATTTACAAATCATTCAATTCTAACAAATTTTACAAACCAATTTTAGTCGTCCATCTAGTCTAATAAATATTTGATTTTATTTGTTTCTTAATCTAAAATCATGATCATAATAAATGAACCTTATTATCTTCCGTATATATTTCAATCATAATTAATGAATCATGATAATTGTCTATAAATATCTCAATTGTTTTTTAATATAATGATTTGTATTAGGAGTGTTCAAGAACCCATTTAACAGAACTCAACACGAAATAGCTCAGCCCAAAGTAACCCAATGTCTAATTGAGTTGTAAGATCTTCAAACCATAGATATCGGGTTGATATATTTTAATATAATGATTTGTATTAGGAGTGCATAAAAACCCGATCAACCTAACTCAATGCGAAATAACTCAACCCGCAGCAACCGAATGTCTAATTAAGTTGTAAAATCTTCAAGCCATAGGTATCAGGTTGATGTTGGGTTACTTTATTTGAACACAACCCAACCCAATGAACCCGATATTATTTTAGTTCTTCAATTGAATATGATTGTTGAGTATCTACTAATATATGCATACGTTATTTTCACTATCACGTAACCTTTTCATATAAATATATTTTTCAATTTATTATTCATCTCTATATAACTCCTTTATATATATGTCCAGTAATTATGACATATATATATATATATATATGTTTAATCAAATGGAACCCCTAAAATTTGTAAGATCCATGATATCCAATATGAATCACTCATTTTAGATAATTATATTATTTTTAAAAAATAAAATAAAAGCTAATTTAGTCAATTCAAATGCTTTTAGTTAATTTATTCTCCAATAAATAGAAAATCCACAATTTCTCAAATAGAACATTAATTTGTTGTTCAAAATGTGTATCCAAGTCCTTAAACAATATTTCTAGTGATATTTGTTGGTCCCAGTCGGATTTACAAGAGCTATAAGTAATCAGTTTGTAGAAGGAATGATAATACAAATACAGAAACTTTCACTTTAAAAATTATATATTGGTAAATAAAGATCAATAAAAATTTTACAGATTGTTAGCGGAAGAGATAAGGTAAAGAACTTATCTAAACAATATAAGGTTCACACAATTACAAAGAGCAAAGAGAAAAGATTTTCTACAAGAAATAAAGATAAGAATGTAAGTGCTTTTCACTTGTTCTAAGTGGTTCTTTCTCTTAGGTTGAGAGTATAGAGAAGTAACTCCTTGGGTAAGTTAGTAGTGGAAGGATGATAACTGAGAGGAGAGCACTCAGCTATTTATACCCATTGCATTAAATCAGGCATCGACTTTGCCTGTCCCGCTACCTCTGGTTCAGCTGTCCTGTGTCTTCTCATGTGACCACCTCTTGTTCATTGAATGCCCTTGTTGTTTGACTTGATGGCGTTTGGGATTGCGTTTGTTGAGTGGAGGCAGAAGGGGCAGCTGAAGGAGTAGTAGTTTTGTGCTACAGATAGCTGTTTCTCCCCCTCTTGACGATTTTGAGGACCACACTGATCTGAGTCCTGATTATTGTCAATCCTTTGCTTCTTTGACGATTCACCACAGATAGAAGGGTGCTTGACGAATTTACGCTTTGGCTTCTGCACGTCTGTGGGAGCCATGGCTTTAACCTTTGCATCGATCAGCTCGACGATGTCAGCCGCTGCCTGAGTAGCCTTATTGATCTCAATGTTGACTTGGAAATTGAATGCTTGTGAGCGTTGCATTTCTGCAGCCGCTTGCTTCGCTGTATTGTTGAAGTCCGAGGTGAAATCAGTCACCTTTTGAAGTAGGCGATCACCAAGAGCCTGCATCTCCGTCTAGGTGATATAATCAGCAAGGACGCTCAGAGGGACGAGTGTCGTTTGATCATTGGAATGAGAAGTGGAGGCCGCATCCCTCTAGATATGAGAAAGAACCCTTTGCAGGGTCTCTGCGTTTGTTGCTGTCAATTCCTGAAGGCGTTTGAGACGAGAAGAATTCGTCAAGGACTCAGCTTTCAATACAACAATGGATGATCGAACTTCATTCAGAGCAGTTGCGAAGGGGGATTGCTCTGCACAGGCCAAGTTGAATTTAGCTCTTCCAAGGAGCACAACATAGAGGTGGCAAAGGACTTGAACTCGTCCCTTGTGACATATGTTGTAGTGGCAACCTCTGGCTTAACACATGGGCCAGAGTTAGTATTTGTTCCAAGGACACCTTCTTTCACGACTTGTTTGACGTTGGTCGAGGAAGGATTTCCAGCTGATCCTCGTGACTCCCGTGGAGGAGAAGGCACTACGGCTGTTCTGTCATAAGGGACGTCCTCACCAGATTCAGAGTGTGATGAAGAGCCCTCGCTGAGTGGACATAGATATTTGTCAAGAGTCTCTAAACCTTGCTCTGAACAAGGTTGGGAAGTAGCTAGTGTAGAGGAAACGAATTCCTCTGTAAGGGAGAGTGACGTGGCATGGGAAGACATGCCACTTATTTGTTCAAAGGAATCACCCTTTTGAGAGGATAAGTCCTGGGAAGTGGATTCCCTTTGTTTTATATGGCCAGAGGCAGATGCGATCTCTGGCTGGTTTGGCTGGTGAGGGTTCAAGGTGTGCGCCTCTGTTTCAATGACCCGTGTTGCTCTAACAACTGGATCAGGTTGTCTGGATGCACTAGGAGTTGGGTTCTTGGAATATAACTGTGCCTATTTTGAGTCCTAGCCTGCTCTGGCTCTTCCTGATCCAGGGTAGCGCCTCCCTCTTCTCTCTCATCTCCCGCATCGCCCTCAGAGCTCTCTGAACATGAGCTCTCCTCATCACTCTCTTCCTCCTATCTCTCTGAGTCATCTGTGTTAGGACCGAATAACTCTATTTCTTGGTAAAGATTACTTACTTGAATGATTGGTTTGACAGATATAGTGCAGCGAAAAAGATAATAAATCAAACAAGTAGAAATCGATAAGAACACGATGAAGACGAATGATGAACACAGGAGAAAGCTTCAAAGGATTTTCAATTAGATGAAAATATTAACAATTACAATTCTGGAAGCACACTGAATTACAAAGGCCTACGCTGCTATTTATACAAGCAAGTAACCGTTTTCTGACACGACCTAAAGTAAATTAATCTAAGTCGTTCGATCAAAACAAATTACAGACAAGAACAGGTGATAAGCACGAGCAGCTAATAAACCTAAGTAAAACAGCTTAAAGATAATCTACACAGAAGACATTGCTGCAGMCCCTYTGTTRGACAACACAGAGGCTCTGCTAGATGAAACTTGGAAGTACGCAGAGGAAATCTTGCAGAACCTCTGTGAGACACAACAGAGGTTCTGTCGACTAAGTTTTGTAGCATTGTCTTCTCAGAGGACCAGTTCCAGAACCTTTGTGAGACACGACAGAGGTTCTGTCACTTGAGACTTGTAGCTTGAGCATCTTTTGCTGTTGGTCCTCTGTGGTCTTCTGTGACATATCATCTTCTGTCAATACTTGCAGTTTTACTTTTTCTATACTTTTACATTTAAGGAACTGAGAGCTAACAATCTCCCCCTAAGTATGAAAAAGTAAACTATGAACTTTGGGTGCAAGTGTATGACTTAATTGAATTGAAATTACAAGAGGTGATTAAACATCATTCTCTGAAAGAATTAAGATGAAAAGAATTACAAAGTAAAGAATTACAATGTAAAAATTACAATGTAAAGAATTACAATGTAAAAAATTACAAATGTAAAGAATTACAAAACTTGAAAGACAAAATTTGAAACATAGGCTCGATCTTGGGACAGAAGAGAATCAGACTTGAGACTCTGGGAAATCGTCTACCGCATAAAGAAAATCTGACTTTATAGTTCTGTAGACGTCGAAGATGAACTCTCTGAAGTTGATTTGTACTCTGATTACGTCTGATTACGTCCAAGAGAGATGACACTTCACCAACCCTATAGTGTCTTTTATCCACCTCTGCCACGATACACTTGAATATCCAGTCCAATGTCTCTGTTGAATACTTGTGCGCTTCTGTTAGGTCAAAGAATCTAAGTATCTCATCCTTGTCCAAATACACAAACCCATAAATGGGATTGTGCAGAATGGTGTTTGGATAGTACTTAGACACCCAACCTGGATTGCTGTAAGGAGGAGTGATCTTCAGATTCTTCTGTGCTAGTCGCATGACCAACTCAAAATCCTTCTGGCTGTAGTACATCACTTGCGCGCGCATAACTTCAATCAGCCTTCTGAGGGAAACTTGGTATGTTGACCTCCTCCCCATGTAGATATTAAGGATTTTGTGCATATAAATGAGATCATACACACAGAGGTTATGCAGATCAGCGTCAGAGAATGTATAGATGTTCCCGTCTTCTCTCCTTACAACGTATTGAGAGTAGAGCACAACCTTCTTCAATAAAGTTCTTGGAGAAATTGACACCAAAGATTTGATCATATGGCGCGAGAAGTCCTGCTCACGAGGCCTTGTAAGTCTGGATAATCGGAATTTGGCTGCGGCAGAGGGAATCCCAGTGAGCTCTGGGTCATAGGGTGGCTCTGTGTCTGTCCCAGAGTATCTCCATATAAGAATTTCCTCTGGGGTAGTAACGGGCTCTGTGCGAAGGTTAAGCGTAGGAATCTTGCTCATAGACTTCAAAATCTC